CTTCTTTGACTTTGTTCGATGAAGCTTTCAGATCCCCATGCTCTTATTGCTCTCTCTATTACAACTTATGAGGTTCTATCACTTTTGGGGATGTGGTCTTCCATGGAAGCTCTTATCTCCTTAGGTTTGATTCATATGTGGGCTCTTCATGACCAGTGGAATATTGCAAGAGATCCTTTGACAATTCTTATTACCCTTCCTCCTACCCTTGCCGATGTTCTGCATTGATGGTTGGACAAGACTCACACGTCAATGGGTGTCCTGCTTCCTCCTCATCATCCAGATTTACAAATTTTCAGAGACACATTCCCTCATGGATTAGGAGTGTGGATCAATCAACAGGAAGCTTTGGGGTGTTGGTCTGCAGCTGAAAGGTCTTATCATATCTACATCCTGAATATTTTCACTGTATATCATGCTTGGGTTCATTTTCTCTATCTGGCCAGAAATCATCTGGTAATGATCCATTCTGACAATTCTACAGTGACTGCTTATCTCAATCACCAGGTTGTCACCTGTTCTTGATCCCTCTGTAATCATACATTAGATTTTCTTTTTTGGGCCCACACACTAGATATTCATATCATTGTGTGTCATGTTTTTGGTGCTTTCAATTTTGTTCCAGATCGGCTTTCCCATCCAGACAAAGTCTATCCAATGGAGAGGTCTCTTGAACCTCTTGTTTTCTAGTGACTTTACCTTCAGTGGGGTATTCCTCATGTCGATGCTCTTGACACGTTCTTCAACCACAAATTACCTCTGTTTTGGTCTCCAGTCTCTCACCCTCTTGCTCTGACTGTCAATTCCTTCAGCCAGGACTGGACCAACAAATACTTATATGTCTATCCTCCCATTCGACTTCTTCTCCATACAATTTCAATCATCCATGCCACTCTGTGACAAGTCCTCTTGATTGCTTCTTGCTGACCAGCTGAGCCATGGTTTCCATGGCTTCTTCAGCTCCAACTTACCCCTCTGTTACCTCTTCCTATGACTCCATCCCTTCTTCATCAACCTTGGCCATCAGTGCTTCATCCAGCACTTCCTGTTCTTTGTCTTCATGCCTAATTTTAATCCAGTCCTTTGTAAGGAGATTCAGCTTGTCCCGATGGGTAGCTTCTTTTCTGGCTCCTTCCATTTGCCCTTCCTCATTGGAAGTTTATCATGTAAATGGAATGTTTTCTGCCATTGGTCTCTGGGTCAAGGGGTTTCCTCTGCTCAACCCACTGTTTCTCGTATTGCAGATTCCCTGACTTGGCTTTTTTGATCTGGGGCCTTCTGTTTCCTTGATATCGTGTTATCAGGTGGCTTTGTCCCATACCTTTCCTTTTTCCCAATATCGTAGGGTGTTTACCTACCCTACTCTTTCCATGTTGATGCATTCCTTCTGGATTCGTTGTCTCCCACAGTGGGCTTTCCTTTTGGATTGGGATGTTAATGTGGTCCTTTACTGCCTCTCCTTGCCTCTGTTCGAACCACTCTCCATGAGCTCCTTGTTTCACTTTTTCATTAAGACTTATTTCCTTCTCCTCTTATCCTGTGGACATCAAAGGTCTGATTTGTTTTCCATCGTTGTTTCACATATTCTTTATTATTCTACATATCTTCTCCTTTATCTGGATCATTCTTTCTTTCCCAAAACTTTGGTGGCTCGTGAGAGTAACTCCTCCTTTTCGACGATTTCCCCTCCTTCCATTTCCCCCCTTTATCCTCAGCCTGGTCGGAATAGACTTTTTTGTCCTGTACATGCTCTTCACTGTTATATTGCTATTTGCTGGGTTTTGGATTTAGAGTTGAACCAATCAGTATAAGTCCTCACACATGTATTAGAGATGTCTATGTTCCTTCCTCATTTATACTCTTGTTACTCCATCAGTGTTGTTGTGGGTAATAGTGGGGGGTACTTGCAGATTATTACAGTTCTTCCCCTTCCTCTATACCTTGATGCTTATCATTCCAAGGATCTTACTGTTCTTGGAGTGGTTCTGGTCAATTTCAATTTTGAGGGAGATGGTTTACTTAATGCAGTTATATTTTGGATACTGGATGTTGGGTTCCTGGATTATATATCAATTTCTTATATTGACATGTACTCCGTTCATGGGTTGGGGGGTTTTTGATTTCCTTCAGTCTTATGTACTTGAGGTGCAGATGGTATGATCTTCTTTCCTTCCCCTACCAGATGACTGGGTTTTGGATTCTAGTTGACTTGCCACTGGTATGATCCTCTTTCCTACCCCCCACATGAATGTCAGTTCCTGGTGGCCTGGGTTTTGGATTGTAGATGATTTACTGACAGTATGATCCTCATCCCACCCCCGTGTAGATGTTGGTTCCCAGAGGCATGGGTTTTGGATGTAGTTGACTTGCCATTTATGGTCTGTCATGCCCTAGCCATTCTACACCCAGGACACATCCTTTTCATTTTACCCACTTTTATATTTTCTGGGACAGAGTTTCATAAATAATCTATGGTTCAGATCACTATCCAACCTTAGTTCTCTCCCACTTGGATGTGCTCCTCTGTTTTTCTGCCCACATGTGCAACATCTTTCACTGATGGGTGAAGAATATACCTGGTTCAGAAGTGGTGCAGTTCCCCACATCAGTTCTTAGAATCTGACTGACTCATCTTAGGGAGTGTCCTTCGGATGTTTTCAAAGGATGCTTCTTTCTTTCCCTCACACTGGTCCCTCCACCTATTCAATGTGGGATTCTAGCTATTTATGTGAGGGGAGGAAATGTACTGTATCAGAAGTTATAATTTTTCTATACTGAAAATGTATTTCCAATAGGTACTTACCTCTATCACCCTTCCTCCCTACTAAAAACTGGTGCTTCCATCTTCTGCCAAAACTCGAAGTGATAATTCAGTAGAATTGCGTCATGAGAGTATGTCGCACTCTTATTGGTGGAGGGTTGTTGCATGATGATTTGCATGAGAGATGCATTGGAATTAGTCCATTCCAATTGAGGGGAAATAAAAGGCTTGTTGCATGCAAAAAAATAATTTTGCTTATGGAGGGCAGCACTAAACGAGAATAGCTATTTATGTGAGAAGAGGTAAGTACCTATGGGAAATACATTTTCAGTATAGGAAAATTATGACTTTTAAAATATGGAAAACCTAGACCTCCTAATTCCATTTGAAGGTTGATTATTTTCCTAACATAATCGTTCCTATTTGTTATTCCATATAAATTTAAATATTATATTTTGAATTTTCTTTATTTCTTCATTATTGGGTGGTATAACACTTTCTATGTAAGTTAGTCTTAGGTAAACTACTTCTTTTTCTATAAAACTGTGTAGGAAATTATGCATAGTAGTTGTTGAAAAAGATAAAAAGAAGTATGTTATAGGTCAAACCACTAAGGAGTTAATATATATATATATATATTTTGAAATATATAATTGTGGATATAATATTTTGGACAATGCCCTTCTTCAGGTATCACGAACTGAATAGTAAATCCATCAACAAAAACATGATAAAGGACAGCCTTGTCTCACCCCTGACCTTACACAAAATTTTTCCTTTAAGTATCCACTTACATTTACTTTAGATACAATATTTGTGTAAGTTATTTTAATACAATTTATTAATTCTTCCAAAAATTCATATTTGTTTAGTACATAAAATACAAAATCATGTTGAACTCTATCAAACGTTTTTTCCTGATCCAGTGGAATTACCCAGGTAGGAGAACTACCATTAGTTGAGAGGCAGATAATGTTTCTTAGCATGTTAATATTAAAGAAAATATCTCTACCGGGTATTTCAGCCATTTGTGTTGAAGTAATTAATCTATCTAATACTTTTGTTATCCATTTATTTAATGATTTAGTAAGAATCTTGTAATCAACATTTCATAATGTAACAGGTCTATAATTTTTTAATAGCCTTGAATAGTCCTTTCTACACTGCAAGCTGATTACTTCTTCCCTAAATGATGGAGGGAGAATCCGCTTATCTAATGAACTGTTTAACATATGTACAAATTTCTTCACTATAGTTGGCCAAAATTTTTTATAAAATTCTATTGGTAAACCATATAATCCCGGTGATTTGTTTAATTAAAAACTATATATTATCTTGTATATTTCGTTATTAGTAAATGGGTTATTTAAATTATTAATTCCATTCATTTGGGTAAATGCTTAGTGATTTTTGGCCACGTTTGCTGTTTAATGGTATCTATCAATGCCATACAATTTTGATCACCATCAGCAACTCTTGATAACTTAGTTAACATGTTTCTAATGGATGGATTCTTTTTCTTTTCCTCTGATATTCTTTTACTTATTTCTTGGAAGCTTGAATTTACTGTTTTCTTTAAATTTTCCCACCAGATTATATCCCCTTTCTTTACCTTACATAATGAAATAAGTTCATTATCTATTTCCTGAACTACTTGCTCATTTTCTAATAACAATATATATAGTTTCCAGTAACCCTTTCCTTGTTCTGTTGTTTCAGGTATGTTAATATCCATTATTAAATAGTTATGATCACTGACATGGTGTTGCTTACTTCCTATTGAGTTAATTTCTGTGTATAAGGTTTGAGTTAGAATAAAATTAGAAACATAGACTCTGTCCAGTCTAGTACCCACTCCGTCATAGCTCCAGAAAGTTATTCCTGGTGCTACAGGTTCTAGATGTCTCCATTCATCTAATATTTTGAAAGTTTTTATAACATTTTCTTTACATTACTATTACCTTTGACTTTATCCAGATATGGGTTTTTCTATACCATTGAAATCACCAGTCAGTATTATTTTGTATGGACAGAACATATATTGTTTTAGATTCTGAAAAACGTTGGCCTAGCTGTTTGGATTATTGATGCATAAATGGGTAATAATTTTACTTGATATTTGTAATTGTAGAATTTTTTAATGACTTTTGTTGACTATAAAAAGAAAAGGATGGTAAAATATAGTACATTTGAACTAAATGAATGATATAAACATTTATAGTGTGAAATTTTAATACAGGCTGTTTTCATTTGGAGAATATAAAGCTGAAGACCAAGAGAAGATGCTTGCTGATCTCAACAAAAAAGTGGAAACTGTTTATCGAGCTTGTATTGGAGAAAATACTGCTAACATCAGGTATGGTTTTTTTGGTCAGAACTGTCATACTTCTTTCTTATATGCAATGCTCAAAGTATTTTAGAATATTTAATGGAAATTGTTAAAGTTCTTTACAAATTTGGATGTTATCTAGATCTTTTACTTGATGGTGATAATTGATAAACCAAAATTGAATGTTATTTGTTTGATAAAGAATTTACTTTAATGTTGTTTTTTTCATATTTAGTACTCTGATGATGTTAACAAGCATTGAAAATAAGCTAGAAGACCTGCTAGATGCAATAGACTCTTTCCCGCAGCATCGACTGGAAGCTGTTCGTAAGGTAGATCATTATAAAAGAGTGAATAATCCTAGTAAGGTTACCAGATGGAAATAAATGTGAAAGATGAAGTATCATATTGTAAGATGTCTGTTGTTAGGAATTATAAGAAATTTAGCTGATGTAAAGTAACTCATTATACAGTGTAATTTTTACTGTTAGAAAGATAACTTTGCAGTAGTTTACTGTAAACAAAGTCGTCACATAGTAAGGTATCTTATTATTAGGAAGTTCAATTGTAGCAGTTGCATGTAATGTAAGTCATCACCTATTGAGGACTGCTACCAGTATCATTATATAAACACTCAACTCCTACCTAAGGTGTCAAGAGACCTTAATATGTAATGACCTGCCTTACACTCAATTGCTACCAAGTTAACTTCCTGACTGTACAGACATACTTATTCAGTGACACTCCTTACACTTAGCAAAACAAAGAACTTTTCTTGAAGGTACAGGTCTTGTTATATGATGATCCACTTAACACTCAACCACTACTGAATAATCTTTGTGATGGCAGAAACCTCATCACATGTAGACTCACTTTACACTCAACCATTATTAATCATCAGGTCTACAGAAGTTGAGTACATTATATTAAAACAAATTCAGAGCCTCACCATGTCATTACAGTTCAGTTTGCCATGTACGGTCATGTACTGTCTGACAACTGTGCATTTGGCAATAGTTCTGCAGTATAGTTTTCATTGTAACAGGCTTTGTCTTAAGACTGTCATAGCACACCACTTTTCTTCGCATTGATTTCCATAATCAGTCTGGTTTGTGGGGATGATGATTTCTCAGTGTTCATTTCAACAGTCCTGTTGTACAGAAATTCATTGGCACTGTATCTGCCAACTTGACCACTATACCTTCATGTGGAATAGCATGAATATCTGTTTCATTCTCCAGTAGTTTGAGGTATGTATCAATTGAATGGATATGCTGTGGAAATAATTTGAATACATGTGACTTGTGTTACTTTTCCAGTTGGAGATCCTTCTTGATTATGTTGCATACTATTGCCTGGGAAATGTGGACATCTCTTGCCACTGACCTTTATGTTTGTGAATTCTCATCTGTTATAAAACATTGCACTTTTGATTACCATGGCGGGGGTACAACTTGTAGGTCACTTTCTGGAATGCTCTGTTGTGCCAAGTTGATTCATATTCCTTTATTTTGTAATGTTTTTAAGTATGAGGGATACCACCTTCTTAGAAATTCTGAATCCCTGATATGAACACATCTTTATGTCTGAGTGTATGAATATTAGTGTCAGAAAGGGCTGTTACATACCCTTCCCAAAGTGATCTATTTTTGGTGGCATCGCACAACCTATTAAATACCAAACGTTGTCTAAATGTAGTTCTGATACTTTCTTTACCATCCCAACATTATATGAGCTGTATTTGTTAATATAACATACTCAACCCTAATAGTAGTTCATTTTAAAGTGGATTGATCATTGTATAGTAAGATTTATATTCCTATAAGGTACTAATTTAGTTTTTAAATGTCCATTCCAATTGGTAACAGAAGATCTATGACTTGTATTCTCAAAACAGGCAATAACTTTATAGGATTGTACTTCTGTAGGTTTTTACTAAATCCTCACTTGCTAAGCTAAAATCTTAAAACAAGGTTCTGATACATACTGCCCTCTATATGCAACAATTTTTTTCACATGCCAAAAGCTTTGCACTCCCACGTTCCCCATGATCATCATGGTTCAACTGCATCTCCCTTGTAAATTATCATGTGACAACCCTCCACCAATAGGAGTGTGACACACTCTCCTGATGCATGTGACCACCTTTATTCAATTCTACCAAACTATCACTTCTCATTTGGCAGTGCTATCATCAAGACGTTTTTTGTTTGTACTCTCTTCCCGTATATTTTTTTTAATTTCTTATGAAGTGGAATTATTTCTAAATTTTTTCTTCCTACTTCACTTTAACAGTTTTTAGTGATCACTTACCTTTAATGTTCTTCACATTTTTTTGGTTTTCACTGAAGTTTATATTTCCACTTCAAAAGTGATATCATTTACTACCAGCACAATTACACAGGCTACAGGTGGCAGTACTCGGCTGAGGAATTGTCAGGTTTCATATGTTGGGAGATTGATTGTTATATGTTTTTTGTCGGGTGGTTAGTTTTACGTGACTTCAGCAGAATGGGGGATTGTATTTGCACTACAACTTAGCCATCTGGCTTCTGTAAGCTCATTCCAAGCTGGAATTGTCTCAACATACTCAACTGTTTCTTACACACACATAGCTCAGGTGGTTGAATTTTCCAGTTGGAGAAGTTTTTTTCCCGTTACCTACCTAACAGTCTTGTCTTTTGGGGGTATCTTTTTCAACACCGAACTCCATCAAGCCCATCCTTCTCCTCTTCGACTGCATTTGATGGATCTTTCAGTTATCCACACCATTGTTAACTGTATTACTGCTAGTGAGGTTTTATCATGTTGGGGGATGTGGCTTCTATGGAAGCACTTATCCCCTTGGGTCTGGCACATATACAATCTATTCAGGGGATGCTTCATGACCCATGGAATCTTGATAGGTTTCCTTTAGGTTTTCCTTGTAACTTTTCTCCTTCCCTCTTTGTTGATATGCATTGATGGTTGGACAAAGCTCCCTCGTTGTCGAGACCACTTCATTCCCCTGGTCTGGATTTGTTTCTCTTTCCTGATGCTTACCTCCAAGGTTGGGGGGCATCAGATTTCAGGACAATGGTGTATAGCCAAAATGTCTTACCATGTTATCCCCCTGGAAATTCCAGCAGTCCAATGTGCTTTGGTTCACTTTCTTTTTCTTATCAAGATTCGATTAATCTTTACCCATTCGATGGTGGTGGCTTATATCATTCACCAAAGGGGGGCACCCGTTCTATTTCCCTTTGTGCTCGACCATGGATCTCCCTTTTTAGGCACACACACATTTGATGTATGTCTGATGATGTGTCATGTTCCAGGTGCTTTCAACTTTGTTGCAGATCACCTTTCCAGTCCCAATACACTTTATACCATGGAGTGGTCTCTCAATCATCAAACATTTCCGGTTACTCTGCCTCTAGTTTGATGCATTTGCCTCTTTCCTCTATTCCAAGATCCTTTTTTTGTGATTTTTTCCATCTTCCCTTACCAATTGGATTTGACTTTTGATTCAATTGTTTTTTTCTTCCTTGCTTCCTTCTTCTGGTAATCAATTCCCTTTGTTTTCACCACTATCAGGCACCTTACCTTTTACCTGCATCTCACCCATTTTTGTGTGTATACCTTTTATTTTTGAGGAGCATGTTCCCTTTTTTCTTTAAGGATCCCATTCTGTGGTGAGTGATGCCTGTTCAGGCATACTTAAACTAGTCAAATCTGCACTGTAAGGCCATGATGACTTCACAGTTATATTTTCCATGGCCACTAAATGCACACTGAGATGGGGTGTGCCACAAGATTGCTCGTAGGTTTTTCCTCCCAATATCTTTGCTTCATTAATATGCCCATTCTGGACCATACTAACCCATGAACTTCATGGGTAAAGCAGAAGGGGATAGCTGCCCATCCCTACCATTCCTTAGATTGAATAAATCAGGAGTGGTCTGCTTTTCAAAAAAGGGTTTTCATGGTCACCCACTGCATTGTCTCTGCTGTTGTCATTCCTTCAGACTCATCACACATTTTCCCCCCTTTTTCTTCCAGTGAAGTATGGGAGTCCTTACCATTTTCCAGCTTCAAATCACTGGGGTGGTGGACCATGGAGGCATCCACCTGTATGTAATAGTGATATATGATACAAACAATAAAGAATCCATTCAGTTAAGAGTAGGGTTGTGGTGTTCTGCTGCTGTAGATGAGGAGATATCCTCCAATCTGATGCTCCATCTCTGAACGGGTCTACCCGAGGCGATGTAGTAGCTTTGGAGTGAGCCATCAAAATTGTAGTATACCCCTTCAATTGAGATCCCTCATCCTACTCTTACATGGATGTCAGTTCCAGGTGGCTGGGTTTTGGATTTAGAGCAGAAATAATCAACATAAGTCTTCACACATGTATTACTGGTGTCTCTGTTTCCTCACTCATTTTGCCTCATGTTCATTGCTAATGCATTGTGGTTCACAGTGGATGAACATGCAGGTTGCTACTGTTCTTCATCTTGCACTACTCCTCAAAGATTTACATATACTGAAGATGATACTATGCTGGGGGGTGGTTCCTGCCTGATTGGTTTTGAGTGGGATGTTGCACAATACAATTACATCTTGATTATTCCGAACATCCGAATGTTGGGTTCCTGGATTGGTAATTTGTTATCACCTTGCTCACATGTGCCCTGTTCACAGATCAGCGAACATGATGTTTCCCTTCGGTCTGCTGAACTTGAGGTGAAGATGGTATGATCCTCTTTTCTACCCCCACCCGATGGCTGGATTTTTGGTTGTACTTGACTTGCCCTCAGTATGATCCTCTTTCCTACTCCCACATGGATGTTGGTTCCTGGTGGCTGAGGTTTGGATTGTGGTTGACTTGCCAATGGTATAATCCTCTTTCCTACCCCCACATAGATGTTGGTTCCTAGTGGCTGAGTTTTGGATTGTAGTTGACTTGCCAATGGTATAATCCTTATTCCTACCCCCACTTGGATGTCAGTTCCCAGTGGCTAGGTTTTGGATGCAGTTGACTTGCAGAGTACAGTCCATCATTCCCTACCACTCTACACTTTGGGCCACATCCTTTTTATTGTCACCCACATTACCGTCTGTAGAGATTTACCTCTCTGACGTTTTTTTAAAGGGATTGAGTTTCTGATAAAAAGTGGTTCAGATTCCTGTCCAACTATTTTTCTCTCATTTTTGGATGTGCTCCTACCATTTTCCACCAATATCTGTGACACCTCTTTCCACACTGGCATAGTGTATACCTGGTACAGAAGTGGTGCAATTCCCCACATAAGATCTTAGTAGCTTTAAAATTTATTAAGAGTTATGTTTTACTTGTTTATTACATTATTCAGTGAATGGTTAAATATTACTATCTCAAGAATGTGATGGTTTGATTTGTGTACATGTGGTATCCAATATAATAGCTTCACATTGTGTTCAATATGTAATTGCAATTTTACTGCACAATGTTTTTGCTACATATGGGCTTTTAAGTTTGCATTTATGCAGGTATGACTTTTGCAGGGGAAACAACAAAACTTTGGTTTTGTATGGTTATTGCTCTCCACTTGTGGTGGTAGAAGTTATAATCTCTTTGTGTACATGTCAGTGAACAATAAGAATGCATGGTTGATGATTTTGTAAAACATCTTATAACAAATTTATTCCTTTTTGCAAAAACAAATTTGATAACTTTTATAACCTTTCACAGTATACAGTACACTATAGTGAATAATATTAAAGATCTATGGTTTAAATAGCAAATATAGAAGTAAGAAAACCTTAAAATACTTCCTAATACTGTATTTATTCAGTTAATACATGGTTTATAGATAAACATACATTAATTGATTTACTGTAAAAGTGTGATTATATTTGTGAACACTTTTGAAGTGAAGCTTCTGCATACCAAAGAAGTTAACCAGTCTAGGTCTGGCCTGCTTTTCAAAATATAGTTCTCGTGGTCATCCATTGCCCAATCTTAAGGTGTTGCATTTCTCTGGACTTCTCAAAATGTTTTTTCCCTCCTCTTTTCTAGTGGAGTATGGGAGTCCTTGCCACTTACCAGTTCCTAGCCACTGGGGTGGTGGACCATGGAGGCTATCTCCTGAGTGTAACCACTTCCACTCAGTAATAAGTAGGGCAGTGCTGTTCTGTTGGTGTAGATGGTGTTTACTTTCCTCCTACCACAGACCAGAAGAACCATTCCTAATGCTGCCTAGTTTTGGACAGGATGAATCTGCCAAATGCAGTTTACTCCTCCAGCTGGCTTTCCCCCATCCTATTGCTGCCTGGATGTCAGTTCCTAGGCAGTCTGGTGTTGGATTGGAACAGGACCAGCCAACGTAAGTCCTCACACATGTGGTTGGTAGCGATGCTCCTCCTACTGCAGACTGGATGAGAAATTCCAGATGCCACCTAATTTAGGACTGGAGTTGACCCACCATGTTTGCATTCCCACTACTTACCATTGCCTGGATGTCAGGTTCCCACATAGCCTGGTATCGTTTTTTTTTACAGGGACTGCACCTGTGCCCTGCCTAGGTTGCTGGAATGGAAGTAACTTTTCCTTTCTTTTTTTTTTCTGGTCTAGAGGTGAAGATGATTGGGACCCTCCTCCTACTGCAGACCTACTGCATACACAATGGCACCTGGTTTTAGACTTGAGTTGACCCACTGAGTATGGTCTGACATGCCCTAGCCACTTCACACCATCTGGCACTTCCATTTCCACTATGGGACTTGCTTCCTTTCTGCCCAGCTTGGTGACACGTATCAAACTGTGGGTGAAGGGTAACCCTGGTACAGATGAGGTACAGTCTCAAATGGGTGTAACCCTCACTTTTCATGGTTTAGGGTATCACACCCCATGTGGTTTCTTTGAACCCCTTCTGAAGGGGGCTCATCTAGGTACATTTTGCACTGACCCCTCCACCATTTCAATGTGGGATTTTAGCTATTGTGTAAGCAGAGGTATTGTATCGGAAGTTAACATTTTCTAGTACTGAAAATGTATAGATAATTACTTCTCCTCACACTTCCCACTTCTGGTGCAAATTTTTTTGCTTAATCTTGAAAAGATGATTGTGCTGTACAGTTTGGAGGAAGTCAGCTTCTCTAGGAGGGTGTGTCGCACTTCTATAGGTGGAGGGTTGTTGCATGATCATTTCCATGCTACAATGCAGCAATACCACATGTAAACACGTAATGTTAGGTGAGAGCTTCAAGGCTAAGAGTAAGCAAAAACTGTGCATATAGAGGGCAGCACAAATCAAGGAAAGCTATGATGTGAGAAGAGGTAAGTATTTTTGTCAATAATCTAATATTGAACCTTAAGAATATTCTTTTAGGGACCTATAGTATTATAATTTTTAGTCAATGTAATTTTTCATTTTTTAAATAGAGTAAGAATTAAGACTGATGATAAGGACTTCTTGAGAGACAGATTGACTGTGGTTAGATAAAACCTTTCTAGGAGATTAAATGTGAAATGTATATTTTGATGTAAAAAACAATGAATATCAAATGTGACAATAAATACTAAAAATATAACATTTTTGCACGTGTTAGGCAAAGCTTCGAGAAAAAAGGATACATGAAAGAAATGAGCTGGAAGCTGTCCAACGTAAGCATCAAGAAGACAGATTAAAGAAAGCTTTAGAGAGAGCCTATGCTGTTAACAAAAAAAAGGTGATTGCATAAACGAACATTAGGTACCTAGGATAGATTAATATAGTTACACCTTAAGTTTATGTTTACAAATTACCAATATCTGCAATATTTTTATATGTTGTAGTTGGAGAAATAATTTCATTAAAGAAGCTTATTCATACCTAAGTAGACCTAACAACACTATTTAAATAAACCAGTAAAATTGCATCAATTCATCATTGGGAAGCTATAAGAGTTAGATATTTAATGTTTTTTTTTAATTGTCTTTATTGAATAATTCATGTTATTGATTTTCCCTTGTGGCTCAGCTGTAAATTTGAGGGCTTATAATACTAATTCAGGGTTTGATTACCATATCACAGATAACACATTGCGCAGCTTTGCAGTAAAACAACAACAAACAAGCAACTATTATTAGTGTACGCTTTTACGTATTAAGTTGCTATAAAATCTTCAACAAAAAATAGCCTTTTCAGTTTACTTTTCCACATCTTTCTGTAATATTTTTATTATTTTATGAAGGTAGTATGTAATAGGCAAAAAATATGCTGTATATTATGTACATTTTTTGCAAAATAGTAATTTTGTTTTCAAATTGAAGTACAGTACTTTCGGCATTTCTGTAGTATTTCCAGTCTAAAAATGAACTGAACATCTTTGGTAAACAACGTGCATTGTATTTACATAATGTGTATGGTTGTAGGAGACATTGTCTGCTGATTGTATCACATTGGTCATTAATTTAGTTCGATACCCATGGTGGGCAGAGCACAGATAGCCCATTGTGTAGCTTTGTGCTTAACTTCAAACAAACAAACAAACAATTAATTTAGTTTTTACTTCATTGGTCTTTAATTTTTCAAGTATTATTTGTGTACAAATATGTTTATTAGTAGTCCAGAAATCTCTGAATTGCTCATTTAAAAAACTCTTACAAGAACTAAAACTTGTAAAAATTTGTTCTTAACCCTTTACTACATACATTATAAAAATATGGTTGAATTTGTTTTATTTAAGTAGGTCTGTATTGCATACAAAATATGTTTGTGTGAGATGTATTTTGTTAAGTTATAAATGGCTATGTCATCTTAGAAGTAACACTGTTCAGTTGAAGAATCCAACAGAAATAATTCCATGATTTATTTAGACTATTTTTTTCTGCTAGGACCTTAATCCCAACTAATTTGGGGTCTGCCAGTATATATATTTTGTAAGCCAAGAATTTTTACACCCAGGTGGCTGGTTCAGTTGCCAAACATATAGGACAAGCATGTTCAGCAATGGGGATTCAAACTCTTTAAACCCTCAGATTTCAAGTCGAGCACCCTAACCACGAGGCCATGCTGGGCCCTTATTTATGCTCTTACCTGGAAGTAAAAGCAATCAACTACAGAATTGTTACCTGTACATTACAATGTGGAAATAGAGGTTTAAAACCTCATTTAATCCATTATTTATTCACAATTTGTTTTAATACTGTTATAGGCATATATCTTAAAATAATTATTGTGAAGATTTTAAGAAGAAAAAAAAGAGCCATATACTTTGTTGTGGTGTTCAGAAAATGAAGAGAGTACATTATATTATTTTTTATGTACCAGAGCGATGTACATAAATATAGAATAGAGTGTTATACACAAAACAATAGTTACATATTTATTTCACATCAGCATTTTGAACTTTTCTAGGAAACAAAGGATGTTCAGGTTAAACTGTGTACTTGTGTTTAAGATATGTATAAAAAGTGTTCCTGGAAAGATGAACAAACACTATTTTATAAAAATCTTGATTTCTTTCAAGTCAGAAATGTAAACCTTTTCTGAAAAACTACCATGATGACAGGTTACCTTAAATTACACTGCAAATCATCAATTTACCCAAAATTCACATGTAATGATTTCTGTGATTGGTTAAGAATTATGATTACATAATCAACATTGATGTCAGAATTTAGAGTTGAGTGTATACAGACCCTCAGGGAAAAAAAAATGTACTCACCATTAAGTGTCACTGTAAAAACTACTACCATGTAAAATATTGACAAATGTCAAATATTTTTTTAATATTGCTGTAATAATAATAATACCATAAATCTTAAAATGTTTTAAAACATTTCTCAAACATAATAGTAAAATATTTGAATCTAATATTAGGTTGAAAAAGCTTAAGTATGATCCCATCATTAGTATATGATTTTCAAGTTACATATATTAATAATACAAAGAAACAAAATTAGATGTATTATTGAATGAAAGTTATATTAAAGCTAAAACTAAATACCTGGTTATTTAAAAATAGTATTAATCATAAGAATAAAAACTGGTAGTTAAATGAATTTAAAATGTCTAATTACTAATTTCATATTTAATTGATTTATTTGTGATATAAAAATTTACAAAATGAACATTATTTTACAACTCCTATTTTAAATTTTCAGTGTTTATCTCAAATGAATGATCATGAACACAGTTTTTTATGGTGAATTGAAAGATACATTTTATCTTAGAATTAGTTGATTTATATAGTTTTATTAAGTGTTTTGTGTCAACTTGAACATTTATTAAAACTTATCAGCTAGGTCACATGGCTCATATTATCTAAATGATGAAGCATTTGTGTCAGAAATGTATATTTTTTCAACATTGGTTATATAACAGCATAACTGTTTATTTTTACCTTTCAGGCTGTCCGTAAACTGATGCCACGATCTGCACCACACCAAAGTCGTGGAAACCAGAAAGAAGCTGTTGAGAAGGCGCGCCAAGAGGAGGAAGAAGAAAATATTTATTTTTTTACATGATATGTATCTTTATTGAAAATTATAAATGAGAGTATATGTGATTCTTGATATAAAACAGCACTAAAATTATGTAATTTACTATACATTTGTTGGTATCATTTTAAAGATATGTTTTCTATGGTCTTTAAACTTTTAGTTGGTATTTATTTATTACCTTTCTGTAGAAGGTATTATGTAAGCAGTACTTGATTACATGTGATGAGTGACATCAATTTCACTTACAAGACTTATCTATCTGTATACATACACATATGAGGAAAATATACTGTGCAGTTATCAAAAATTCAGTTTCAGAATGTTATTCACTACAAGTTTTGGTGTATATATATATTTTTCCCATTAGCATCTTTTATATAATTGCAATAATTTATTAATATGCATATATTATGTTCAAAAACATAATGTGAATTCAAATGAAACTCAACTTACAATAACACTCATGAATTAGTATAGAAGCCAAATACTTAAAAATATGTTGTATTTTATTTAAAACAGCTTTAACTACTTAGTTAGCAATGAAAATGCATAAATTGAATATAAGTAAAGAAAATTCAGTACCTTATCATCTTGGTTCATAATAATATATCAACTGCACTTGTAGACTATAAAGACTATAATACAAGGTAGATTTTCTGTTTAAATTTATAATTATATTTGTGAACATAATATTATAGTTTACTACTGGTCCTATGAACAGCAGGAAGGCAGCTAACATTACTAATGGTATAGAAGTTAATATTTACTTTGTTATACAGCACCTATAGGTTTCAAAACTAATAGTGATAGGGCCAATCCTGATACAGTTGGTGACAACTTCAGACGTAACGTTTCCTCTGTTATTTTTTCATTCCCGCAACAGGGAGGCACTCACTTGTGGGACTTCTGTTTTTCTGACTCTGAACTGTACAAGCTTACATAAATGGCACTGTTGCTTATGGTTTATCTTGTAAAGAACACATTAAACATTTATGTCTGGTGCGAGTAGGGCTTGGAAGTGAAAATTTGACACTAATGCACTACGAAAATATCAATTTGGTATGAATAGAGTTCCTGTTTGGAATTGGGTGTGGCCTAGTTGTTAATGTGCACAAATGTGAATGTGATAGTTCATAATTTGCATTCCATTGCCACAAAAGTACACTCCACACTTTGGTGCCTTCTCTCTAGCCAGTCATTTAAAAATTAGGAAGAACTAATGTAACTTTGCATGAATATCTGAAACGAACAAACAAATAACACAGATATGTTGAAGTCATTGTTTAATAGTACACAAAACATATTTTCAATATTTATTGTGACTATTAAACATTGGCTTCAATATAAATATGTTATTGAAAATTTACACAAGTGTTGTCCTCTTAAAACAAATAAATTATTATTAGTAGAGAGTGGGAGAAATAGTAGTTTTGGTTACATATTGGATTTCCAGCTCCCGATATCCGATCAGATTTAGATACCTTCAGAATTGATTGTAGTGTTCACCATATATACTAAAAATGTTCCACAGACATAATCTACCACTTAATTATAATATAGTATTAAACTAGTTATTTTGTCATTGTTATTTTAAGTTTATGAGGATGTATATTTCCGTATGAGTGAGTGGTTATTGCAAGATCCTTTAATGGAATGCTACACTTGGCAGTTTAAGACAGTGCTTTACTGCTGGAACTGTTGTTTGGACTGTGCTTGCCATTTCTGTTGCTGTTGTTTCTGTGACAACCTGTGGCATACAGTGGCAACACAATGAGTGGAGAAAATGCTAATATATTTTGGAACTAGTAGAAAGCACCATTGGTTTAAATGATGCAATGCCTAATATTGTAACATATGTGCAAGTAGTACTATGCTTGCTTAATATTATGAGATAATCCGTTGATGGAAATGCTATGTGATTATCCAATTCATTGCAAAATTAACATCCCATTGGATTGGATTTCATCATATGGTGCAATATCTGATTGGATTTGATATTTGTCCCATCCCTAATTATTAATGGTCCTTTGATGACACCTGATTCTATAATGGATGTGCAATTTCAGAGATGGAGTAGCCAAATACAAAAACAGAGTTATGCACACTTTTTTCGATTGGTTGGCTACTATTGAAAATTTTATGATGATATTGTTGTACTGTGGTAATTTTAGAAATCTTGCACCTCTCACCTGGAAGATTTGAACCCGACACATCTTGAACACCAGACAAGTGCACTACCATCTGAGCTAACTATGACTTGACTCGATTATCTCTATCTCTTCAATCTGCCATTATTTTCGTTCCGATCCATTGTCTGGTGCACTTATATACAAGAATAGAGGGCGCATAGAAAAGACTAGAGTTGCCACGAACAGACATGATCATTCTAGAATCTCATGACGTGTTACTAGCATCACGTGACTTCCGCTGTCGTAACACTGTCCCTTCCTTAGTATTGTTC